CCCCACCCCGCGCAGCACCACTCGTCGGCGCTGAGCATGTACCTGGGGGTGAGCCACAAGCTCTTCATGGAGCAGCAGGCCGCCAAGGCCGAGGCCGCGGAGCAGCAGCGGCAGCAGCAGGAGCAGCGCCGCGAGCAGCACCAGCAGCAGATGCAGCAGCACCAGCCGCAGCAGCACCACCACCAGAAGGACTTCTCCGAGAGGTTCGCCATGTTCCGCAGCGCGCCCGTCGACCTGGACGGCCTGGCGGACGTGCTCAAGTCCGAGATCAGCTCGTCGGTGGCCAACCTCGTCGACTCGATCGTCTCGCGGTACATGCAGCAGCGCCGCTTCAAGCCCAGCGACTCTGACCAGCTCAACAAGGACCTGCTACTCGCGTCGCAGCTCCTGGACCGGAAGTCGCCCCGCACCAAGGTGCTCGGCGAGGGCCGCGGCGCCAACGGGCCCCGCATGAACGGCGGCGCGTTCGGCCCCAGCGGCAACCCCAACACGCCGACGCAGTCTGCGGCCTGCCCCGGCACGCCCTCCAACGGCAGCCCCGCCGACATGATGCCGGTGCGGCCGTCGCCCAACTCCATGATGTTCCCCACGCCCAAGCTGCCCAACGCGGCCGCCGCCGCCGCGCTCTACTCCATGTCCGGGCTCGGCGTCAACCCCTTCGAGCACCGCGAGGGCGTGCCCGAGCAGAACGAGGCCCTGAGCCTCGTGGTGACGGCCAAGAAGAAGCGCCACAAGGTGACGGACACGCGCATCACGCCGCGCACCGTGTCGCGCCTCCTCGCGCAGGAGGGCATGCTGGGGCCGCTGGGCGCGCCGCTGGACGGGGCCACCACGCCGCAGCCGCAGCACCCGCCGCCCTCGGGCAGCCCGCGCACGCCCACCGCCACGCCGCAGCCGCCCCAGCAACAGGCGGCGCCGCAGCAGCCGCCCCAGCAGCAGACACCGCCCCAGCAGCAGCAGCACCTGCAGCAGCGGGGATGCCCCAGCGGCGGGCCCATGCACGGCCACCCCGACTCGCCGCCGCCCCCGAGCCAGCGGCCGTACCACCCCCACGGGCCGCACGGCCCCCACGGCCCCCACGGCCCGCCCCCAATGCTCCCCGTGTCCCTGCCCACCTCGGTGGCCATCCCCAACCCCGGACTGCACGAGAGCCAGGTGTTCTCGCCCTACTCGCCCTTCTACTCGCACGTGCCGCACATGTCGGCGTCGCCGCCGCTGCCGATGCGGGACTCGCCGCCGCCGCTGCCGCCCTTGCTGCACCCCGCCCTCATGGCGGCCACCCACGCCCACCACGGCGGCTCGCCCGACTACGGCGTGCTCCGGGGCGCCTCCGGCCTGGACAGCCTCGACCGGTCCGACTGCAACTCCGGCGACGGGCCCTACGACAGCATGCAGTCCATGTCGTTTAGCTACCGAATGAAGCACGAGGACCGTGAGTATTCTCAGCAGCAGCATCTAATTTTTACTTTTTTTCTCTCGATTTCCCCCGAGCAGCCGCCGCCGCCGCCCCCGCACGCTACTTGTTGCACGCCGCCCCTCCCTTTTTCGCCGCGATACGACGCCGTGCCCTCCCCGTCGATATGGCCTCGTTCAAAATGCATGCCGCTTATTAGCCTTCTTTTGCCCCTCCTTTTGGCCGTCACGAAGGCAGCGGCCCCTCTTATTGCGGTCACCCCTGCTGCCTCGACCGCAGCCGCGCCAAAGCCGCGCCCGCCCTTCCTTATAATTCAGCGCCTTGTGTTGACAGTCCACGTGGCCCTCCCGCGGGGCCCGGGGGGAAGTCCCACCGGCGCCTTAGAGGCTGCCCCTCTCCACGTGTCGACCTACAGCAGTATAGTCTGATCCCGCGTCGCGCCAGGTCATCATCTTTGGCGTCGGGATGATTCGCATCGCTGGGGCTTCATCCATCCATATGTGTCTGCCCGGCCGCCCCGTCGTCCATCCGGCCGTCCGTCCGGGCGGGGGGCGGATCAGATGGATGTGATGTGTTTGCATGCCCCCCTCGTAATTGGATTGCGGGCAAGATAACATTGAGGAGGGGAAGTCTTAGAAGTCGAGTCAATCCCCCCGGGTCCGTCCGTCCGTCTGTCTGTGTCTCTATCCGCCCCGTTCCGTTTGCCGGTGGTGCCCCCCTTCCCCTTCGAGAGTGTCGACGTGGGCGGAGGAGAGGGGGGGTGGCGCACCCCGAGCCGTACCGTGGGACACCCCCGGCAAGACAGCTCAGCACCACTCGGATGTCCGCTTCCGTCTCCGAGCCAACTTGCCCCCCCACCCCTTTTCCCTCTCTCCCAATTCCCGCCCCTGTCACCGAGCGCCCTCCCCC